CCTCACATTATTCACCACGAGAGGGGATAATTGAAACAGGATGCTATAAGATAAATTGGATAATACTTCCTCCTTAAAAAATAAAAAAGGGATGTACAAGTAGAGATTCTGCACAGACATTTGCACAGATGTTACAGACTGCATGAGAAGCTATCTTTTTCTTGCTTCTGCTGGATCTATAAACTGCCCTACGCTCCAGGGAAAAGAACATTTTAAATGTTTTTATTAAAACTCCACAACTTTTAGCGTACTAATCCTCACTTACTGGCTGCAGTTGGGACTGGCAACTCTGTCACTAAGTGACACAGTTGTAAAGTGAAATGTCATGTGATCGCACTGATTCATGATGTCACTTCCAGCTGCAGTGAAGCAAATCACCCACAGACGTTAAGTGCAACCTCACATGACCGCGACTTGCGACTTCCTGTTGGCTTCCTTCCCTGGACTTAGCTTGTTGGAAGCTGGCAGGGAATGTCACAAATAGTGATCGTGACTGCGGGACGCTGTGACCATCGTAAATGCACACTGGTTGCCAAGCACCTGAATCATGATCATATGACCGTGTGGATGCTGTGATGGCCACAACTTTGAGGACCATATTCTCCTTTTTCAGTGTTGTCATAACTTTGAATGGTCGCTTAAAGAACAGTCAGTAAGCGAGGACCACCTGTATTTTAAAGTTCTGGGGGAAAATTCCATCATGTGCTTAAATCTCCTGTTGCAGGAAATGAGATTTAAATGTGCATATATTTAAAATTCATATGTTTCTTTTCATTTTATTTTTAAATATTAGAAGATGACTGTGAGGGTTTAAACCTATTTCATCCATAAAAGTTCACAGTATAAAAGCAGCTCATTTTTAGCATGATAAATCTTGAAATTGCAGTTATATTTTTTTTTAAATTACAGTAATACTAATCACAAATATCACCTCTTTTTTCAGTTCATAGCTCATTAAAAGCTGTAAACTCAAATGATAAAATTATAAATTATAGTCAGATGATATACACAGCAATCCAAAAAAATCCCCATTCAGCAGCAAGCAGCTGTAAACAATTATGCAACTATACATTTAGAGGTGACGTGAGTGGTTTCAATTATGAGGCATCATGGAATTCAGAAATCTATAGGGAAAGAGCTATACTACTGTGCCTTAAGCTCCCATGTCTTATCTCAAAGCATGGGCAAACCAGTGGATCTGAAGAAAGTCCTTCAAGGAACATGATCTAAAACTAGTTAGGGTTTTAAACTTTGAATTGGGCACCAAACAATGGAAGCTGTCTTATATATAGCCAAACCACTGGTTAGCTCTAACATTAATATAGCTACTAATTTTTGGTTTGATTTATATTCTGCTTCTCCTTCAGGAGCTCAGGATGGTGCGCAGTGTCTCCTCCCATTGTTCTCCACAACAATCCTGTGAGGTAGGTTGAGCTGAGATAGCCTGGGTAGCCCAAAGTCAGGGTGGACTTGAACCTGGGTTTTCCTAGTCTTAGTCCAACACCTCAGCCCATACCTCACACACTGTCTCACAGCAGCTCTCTAGGGATTTGAATAGAAGTCCTCCAGCTCTCTCTGGAGATGCTGGTAACTATACCTGGGGCATTTTTCTCAGAAACATAAGCCTTACCACTAAGTCACAGGTATCCCAAACAAATTAATAGCAGCCTATACAACTGGCATGATATAGGTGTCTTATGACCATTGCACTTTCCCACTTAATGTCTAGTCAGTATGCTGGATATTGGTTCCTTAGGAACCATACAATCTTATCTAAGATCAGCTACAAATCATTCAGAGTTGTCAGTTTCCCACCACCAGCAATTCTATCTTGTATGGATTAAACCTCAGCATGCTGCAACGAAACATCCAAATATGTTTCTCACAGAGGGTGTGGCAAATAACACTTAAAGCCTGCCAGACCTGATTGACAGCTCAGCCGAAAAACTTGAAATGCTTGGCAATTTTGCTTTAGGTGTAGTATAGCAATGCACTTTTTCTCAAAGGTGTATGTGTTACTTATCTCACAACAGGGCCTTTCAAGCTGTGAGACAGGAAACATGACTATTTGCTGTTAAAGTACTTGCTTTTCTTGGTGTTTTCTTGAACTCCTCTCTGCTATTGATGATAGATTTAGGTACTTTTTCTAGATGCAAACAATGTATTAAACCACAAACAAGCAAACTGTACTGTGGCTTCACGCAGGCATGTGCAAGTTCTGTTGTGATGAGGGCTGCACAAAACTATGCACGATATGCTGAAGACTATGCTCCAAAAGTGTTTAGGGCTTTTAGGAGGGAGCTAAATAGAGTTTTTAAGGAACTGAACAGGTGCCTTTAAAACTCAAGTTACCAATGTTGCCCCTTAAAACTCACTAAAACATGCAGAACATGGCCCAATTATTAGTATTAACCATAAATCTAGTAGTACCTGGCACAAAATGGTGATTCACAATATAGTGCTAAGTATCTGAAGTCTAGAGCATGCTGCGGCATTTGACAAGAATTAAGGAGAAATTACAGGTTGGGACCGCCATTCCTCATAGTCTAAAACTATAAAACCTCAAACTCAAATAAATTTATATGTAACAATTTTAGTGTCAATACTGTTTACACTATTAGCAGCAGTACTAATAACAGCAGCTAAATTAAAACTTTTGACTGGCATTTTCACTGTAACTGAGTATGCATTAATTACTGTCTAATTGTTATTTTGATAAGGCCTTAGGGCTAATCAATAAACTTGGATTGATTGTTTGATTGTAACTGAGTATGCAGAGTTTAGTGATTAAATCGGTATAGAATGCTTTATGAAGGAAATTCCCCTTCTTTATAGGAACCAGCCATGCTATGTTTATATGACTAAGCTGAAGTCTCATACTTCTCGCTGCCTACATGATTTTTACCTGCCTGCTTTCTGAGGAACTTCTCTCTTTAGCAATCTGCAAGCACCTGATCGCGGGTATGAAAGAAAATAGAAAGAACCCAATATATGGATTCATGCAACACACTAATGCCAAACAAGCAATTGCATTCGTATAGGGTCTACATTATTTTAGGCCCTTGGGAACACTTTGCAAAATAAAACAAAACAAAGGCTCCTGAAATCTTGAGAGATTGCCAACATTTTTGTTTGCAAAGCACCAAACTTGTATTAAAACTATCTCTTTGAGGAACAACAGCTCACTTTCACTGTATTGGTTCTTCATACTTTCAGGTCTAGTCCATGAGCCTTACCACACCTCCACTCATTGGGTTCACAAGTTTTCCTCAGATGTCTCCTGCAGAACTGAGGATCACAAGCAGGGACTCCCCAGACAGAAAACAGAGTTCTAGAAACACACATTGAAATGCCCATTGCTCCTGGAGTGTGAGTGTGACACAACTCAAATACCTCATTTCCTGAACTTGCTGAGCAGCTGGATGTTTCCCTTCCTTTCAACAGGACACTACCAAATTACTGGTGGTGGCAGGAGAAACTAGCTATCTCTTCCTATATCTTTCAGCTATGTAACAATCACTTATTTGTTGGCCTTTCCCAACTTGCATCTAACCATGGAACAAACATGCTCTGGCCTCTTTTTCTGTTCCCATGACGTTACCTTCATTTAGTCCCTAACCTCAAATGATTCTTAGCTGTATTGGTATTGTTTTCCCTCTTCCATCGACAGCAATCCATGGCATTTTCAAGGTGTATAAAATCCCATGTGGTTCAGTGACCATTTCGTTGGTGGGGCAGTCAAGTATCTGTCTAGTGGCTACTTCAGACTGGTGGGCATGCCTCCTTCCCTCTGGTCCCTGGGCACTCTCCCCTGCCTTTTTTTAATAAATTGATTAATTAAAGCATAGAAATAACAATTAACATCCATAAAAACAGTTGTCAAGAATTAGAGGAAAGCAGCATCTGAGTCAAAATAGCATTAAAAGAATGGGTTGGAAATTGCATGGTGTGCCCTGTAAATAAACCAGATATTGCTATTTTGAGGGGGGAAAATAATATAGTTTGGCTTGTAGACTGATTTACCTGTACCACCCACAAGCTCTTTCTAGTTGAAGGTGGGCACAGAAATTCTATTATTGCAGCTTGGAAAAACCCTAAATAAATTATTAGACAACAACTATTTGGTCCCCAAGACTTTTCTCTTTGAAGACTTAATTATTACCCTTGACTACAGGACTAGCAAGAAAACAAATATTGCAGAGTTTATAATACTATAAAGTGAGAGCAAAGAACAAAAAGCAAAGTGAATCTGAATGATATTTACAGAACAATCCAATGAAACAGAGGCATTGTCTAGAGGCAGTACTGTATGGCTTAGTTAGAAATTATAAAATATGTGAAAAGAATTGGGGAAGGGTGAAATAGAAAGTCAAGGTGGCAATCAATTTTGAACAATCACTCCCATAAGCTCATGTCATTAACATTATTGGCAGGAGCTGAGGAGAGGGAGTTATTCCTGAACTTGGATATGATCTATTTGCCAATAAATACATTGTGGAAAGCAATCCCTTTTATTTCATGTGTTTTTGAAAGGCTACAACTGTGAGGATGTCTGACAGTGTTGTGAAAGGAGCAAATATTTATCAGTCTTTCTTAATCAATAGAAAGCTTCAAGAAGATAGTTTCAAAGGATGTACCTGGGTACATTGTGAAAAAATGCTCCTTCAATAATAGAATCTCATCTCAAAGAGCAATTCTGGTGTTCCCCATAGGTAGAAGTTATGAAAAAAGAAAGATTGCCAGGCATATAATCTCAATTTCAGTAACAGCAAAGAGACATTTCTATATTCTTGTTCCTTGCGCAGCCTTAAGTAAAGCAGTATGTGTTTAGGATCATACACCTAACGAGATGTTTGTGAACATTATGGCAGTCATAAAGAACAAGGTTGGGTAGCTTGTAGCTCATCTGCCTTTTAAACATTGTTTGACATATTCACTGGCAAACTAAATTGCTCCACAAGAATGTAAAACAATAGCTCACTATTGGTGCAGAATTACGTTTTCTTTTTCTGATTTAATGTACATTCACCATTAAGAAATACTCTCACAGAAATGAATGATTCAGGTAGGACTTCTCCACAGCCGTTTATGTTGAATCTGACAATATGTTCTTAAAGTATCCTGACATTATAAGTGAACAAAATTAAGATTTTTTTTTTAAAAAGGGCCTAATACATTGAACCAGTAAAACCCTGCTCTATACAACACAGGCCAGGCAAATATTTCCAATGAATTTACATAAAGAACATTTGTTTAATTACAAGTTGTGGCCTGTATGTGAACAATCTGTGACAATGTAATTACATTAATCTTTCAGCGTTATTTGTATTCCTTTCCTGTTTCACATCTCCTTCGTTTGCAGTGACTGTAATGCTGAGGAATTCCAGAGAATATTTTGAAGACTTCTGGAGTATTGGTAATATTTTCTTTATTTACCAAAATGGAGCTAATGATGCAGTGAAATAATGTCAGCTCTTGATTTCAAGATCTTATATGGGTAGGGGTCCTGTAGATGGCAATGTGTATTCTTTCAGTAGCTTAAATGTGAGAACACACATCTGCTATATTTCTTTCTGCTCATCCTGCTGAGATGGGCATCAACAGAGCTATACTCAAATGGTGCTGCTGGAATTGAGACATATGAAGTAGGGAGTCATCATATGTTGTAGCCCAAGGGTTCTTTCTTCAGCCAACTCCCAGTTCTGGTCCCTTCCTTACTTTCTCATTCTAAAAGCAAAAACTGTGGTTTGTTCCAACCATACACCACCTCCCCTGTTCCAGTCCTGTAGGAGAGCTGCCCATTCAGGAAAGTCTGCTCCTCCCTTGCAGGTGAATGGTCCATTCAGGAAACAGCCACATGCACAAAGAAGCACTATTTCATCCAAGTTTCTGCTTCCTTATCAGGTGTCTTTTTCAGAACAAAACATAGTAACTCATTCATGGTAATCACTCTGTAAATGGTGTATATCCTTTACTGTCAGGAATCCATGGAGCTGCTAGTTGTAACATGAATTATATTTCTTTCACACAAGCAATTTTCTGTTTGGTATTCAGAGCTTGTTTCCAAGAGGTGTGGCTTTTTTTAAACAAAAAGTATTAATGAATCACACCTACTTGGATAGTCAAGCTATGGGTCCTGCCCTAAGGAGTGCCAGTGCTCCTGTTTTGTTTCTCCTCCTTGCTGCACATAAGTCTTAATTTTTTTTTCTTTTTTGCTGAAACGTCTTCATCATAACTTAAATATATCCTAAGCAAACAGCACCAGCAGCTTCTACTGTAATGCATTCATATTTTGTCAATATTGTTGCTGTGGCTCAAAGATGGAAGATCAAAGAGCTGTGCTTTGAACTCATTTATAAAGTTAGGGTGAGATAACGCCCAGTCTTGAGTAACATCAGCTTGCCAGTTGATTCTGGCAACTTCCCAGTTTTAATTAGATGTCAGGTGTGTCTTTTTGTATTGGAATTTAAAGTTGGAAGCAGCTAACTTAGAAATGGAATATTTGTGCACCTCCAACCTGCAAAGTTTACTTCAAACCCAAGAAGTTGCAGATAGATATGATATTGTCTGCACTGAACTTTTATGTAGGCATGAACAGGTGTGGACAAAGAATCTGGGAAAGGCAGATGGAAAATGTGATATAAGCCATACAAAACCCTCACGGGTGCAAGCATTTAATTGATGAAAGAGACAACAGAACAGATTGATGATTTGCCTAGGCTGATGCTGAAATATTTTTGAACTCTGAAAAAATTATGAATGATCTGCATAATCAGATGAAAAAACAGCAGATAATTGGGATGACGGGGAAAAACCCGCCAAGTTTTAAAAGGTGTGAAGTTGAAACTTTCATTTTACAAGAACAATCAGTCCTCCCTGTAGGACGTGCCTCCTCCCTCCTCTCTCCTCTGAACACCAATCTTGGGAAAGTTAAAGGAATGAAAAGAAATAAATGAGGCAACAATATCAAGAAATTAAACAGGGTGGAGCAACATCAAAGGCATGGACATCCACAGAACCCTTGAGGTTAAACTCAAGAGTAGTTTAAAGAAGAGTAATATAAAAATCTAATAAACAGGCTTGTAGAAGAACAGAGAGGTAGCTTCAAGCTGAGCAGCACCAATTTTAGGGTAAAACATGGGGAGGCAATTGGAGAAGTGAGATAAACTTGGAGGAAATCACAGAGATTTAAAAATAGGAACTCTAAGACAGAAAGTTGTCAAAAACGAGGGAGCATACATATTTTCAGGAGGGAACTGCTGCATGCATGGGCTCACCATAATAAATATCTTTATATCTACTATATGTATCTATGAAGTCTTTCTCCAAAATTTGAGCATGAGAAAAACCAGTTCCATATCCACACTAATTTCCCAGGAGCAGTTTGGGTGGGTGATTTGCCTTCTTCCCTGCATCATGAACATTAAATAAAGGTCCAAGGCATCCTTTTAAAAAAAACTAAACAAACGTATTCCTTTTATTATCATTTTTTATTTGATCATCCCTTTAAGTCAAGAGTAGGCCTTTTGAAGAATGCCAGATGTCTAGAAGTTTATCAGATTGCTCCACTCAACTTGCTAATAGCCAGGAAGAGAGGGGTGCCTAGTCCAAAGCATCTGGAGGGCATCAAGATTTCTGCCTCTGGCTTACATTAATTGAGTGGTGGGATGGCCTAAAAATGAACAAGCAATTCTTCAGTCTATAGTATTTGAAAATGTGAAGTGAGAAACAGATAATTAACTCCGCATTCAATACTGATATGTATACCTGTCAAAAGCATTTTCCAGAAAAATACCCATTATGGTCTTCTCTTTAAAATAGGACTGGGTCCACATTAATTTTGAAGTTAACAAGCCATTTGTATGTCTCTGAATATGAAAAGGAATTCTGTCAGATGCTTGCGAAGAAAAAGTAATTCTAGCCCGGGCAGTGGGCTGAGGCTACAGTCTTGTCACTGGGAAAAAAAGTAACCTTCTGCCCTCCAGATGTTTTAGATAATGACTCCTCATTCCTTTCCCACTGGATCACGCTGGCTGGAAGTGATCTGTGTTATGGTCCAAACATTTAAAGGACACCTACTCACTGCACACATTTACAGTTACTATTAAACATAATGGGATATGTCTGAGTAAATGAATGAGTATGAATGCTGCACTACAAAATTAATTACTCCCATTTTTTTCCCCTTGAATAATGTGGGGATCACCTAATTAACAATGTGGTGTTTGTTGTCCACGACCAGGCCAGGAAACTTAAATAAGCAGCCAGGTATAAAGGAATGTCTGCCAGTAGGGGGTCAAAAAAGTCAAGGTGGCATCCACAACTATGCAATGCACATTAGAAATGAGCGGAGGGTTGATCATACAATTCTGGCCTCCATCTTGACTTTTTTTGACCACCTCTTTGCATTCACCCCTGCAGATATAAAAGTGGCTAGGGCTCTTACAGTTTTAGTAGTTGGCTAAAAAGTGTTCTATGTAACTCTTTAAAGGTGCAAAAGCCCCATTTTATTAATTCAGCCACACTTACGTAAGAAGCAAATTGTTGAGACTTCGCATTCAGGTTCAGCTCTGAGGAAAAGAGTGCTGGCTCAGTTCCATCCTTAGGGTAAAAACCTGTTCTTCAGTGTCCAAAGAGTGACTAACTTGTCAAACTCCAGGACAAATGTTTGCTCTCTGAGGTCAGCATAGAGAAAATTAAATATGCTGACTAAAGCATTTGTCTAATTAGACTTTCTCAAATGAAGTCTCTGACTCTGTTATTACTCTTATAGACCAAACAGAAAACAAGTCCACGAGCAGTTTCTTTTTTACCTCGGGGCAGGCCACAGCCAATGGATGAAGGATCCTGTCTCGCGCTGGGCTGCAGCCAAGGTTACATTAGCCTGGCCACTCTCAGGGTGAAAGTCCCTGGTTTGGTGCTGTATCTGAGATAAATCAGCTATTTTTGCTCTGCACTGAGAATCTTCTTTACTTAGATCAGAAAGGTCTTAGTGGGAGAAAAAAATCAAAGTTGACACCATTTGGTTTTAAACCTCAAATGGAGCTCCTCTGGCCTTTCCCCAGACCTATTTTGAGCGGCTGAGCAAAGCTCTGAAATACCCATGCAATGATTGAAGATGTTAAATAGTTTTGAGCAAACACAGCCTGCTGCATCAGTGCAATAAGCACATGTTTATGTGGGTTTAAAATAGCTACCTCAACAGAGAGCATTGGTTCATTTTGGAAAAAAAGCAGGAACCCCACCCTCTCGGCTTGGTGCTGCCTCACAGCTGCTACTGGTGAAAATTGTGCCTCTTGCTCCTCCCCTCTGGCCTCTTCTGTGGCTTTAGGAACTAACCATTTAGATTTCTTCTGAGTTTTCAAGTACTGTAGCTGTGGGAGGTCTTACCCAGAACAGCTGTAGAAGGGAGCATTCATTTTCCCCCTCCTGTGGTATTTTCCCCACCAAACCTCTCTCCTTATCAAAAACTGTTAATATACAGGCACAATAAAATACCTACCTATTTTAATTTTGTTTTAACCTCTGCTTATCACAATTTTGGGAGGTCAAAAATCAGGGACACGAGCTGGAGAAAAGGATTAAGCGCATGTTCCCTTAAGACCACTGCTTTTGTCAAACTGAAACCTGTTACAGCTGCTTATAGTAACAGTAATAGCAAAATTCAAGAGTGAATTGTGAGTTTTCCATATCACGTGAAGATTGGCTTTCAGGAAACTCTGATGCAATAAGGTAAGAGTTGACCCAGTGCATTTCTCAGCATTCAACCACCCGTGAAATCAAATTGATATTTGGTATCTTACATTTTAAGAGCTGAAACATCTATTATGATGCTTAATTGAATATGTGATTCTCTGCTTTAGATTTTTAAACAAAGAATTCGCGTTTCACATTTTCCCTTGACTTGCCCAATTTTGTATCATGGCTCTGTCAACTGAGGCTTTCACTCTGGAGAAAAAACACACAAGGTCAGATATTTTTCCACCTATGTTTTCTGCCATAAACACTTATTTTCTAAAAGGGAGACATTACTTCCTTTGGTATGCTCAGGCTGCGTGCCCCATATAACTTTGAAATCATCTAAAGATTCTTTAATTTTTAAAAAGTAAAAGCAAAGGAAGCATGCTGCAAAATAAACTATCAGCAACAATTATTGTTTTAATTCTTTTTAGAAAATAAACATGGAGATTAGTTACTGCCCGGTATTTTGTTTCAAAGTAGGGACATATGCCCCCCTTAGAAGTTGGGGTAATAAAGAACACCTTGAGAGTAGGAAAGTTAATGACCTATTGGCCATTTGATAAATAGATTATTTGTGAGTGCCATCTCACCACAGTAATCATTTTTTGGAAGCATTCATGACCACACCAGTAGTCAGGAGAGGCCCACCCCCTAATTTTAAATTAACCCAAACAT